CAAAGAAAATAAATAGAGTAATGCATAAGGAAACGGTGATATAAATCTTAAAGAAATGAGCATATCAAAAAAGTCGTCTACAAACGGATCCGAGATAAGTTCACGAGGTCAGAAAGTATATTTTACGGAAATACCACGAACACGAAAATGTTGTTGAACTTAACTACAACTGGCTTAAACGACGTGTGCAAGTTTATAGAAGAGAGTACAGGTAGACATTTATATGAGAAAGAAAAGCATTAGGACAAAATTGAAAATCCACCATCTGAAATAAAGAGACTTAGTATGCAAGCATGCGGTTAGTAAATTGAATGCAGCGTACCTACAAACGCTGCGCTGGTTCTGCCTACGTTCTCTGCAGGACCCGTCGTCGCTTCGGTAGTGGTCCCGTATAACCTCGCTCATGGCTCACTAGGCCTGTCTGACTCAGGCACTCGCGACCGCATGTGCTACAGCACCATGCACTCGATGTCGATGAAGTACAATCCATCGGTGCTTGCCGCTTCCGCACTTGCCGCTTCTTCTCTGCGTGTATAAGGTCTTTCTCCCGCACTGCAGCAACTGCCTTCGTGATGAGATCGCGCCATACGCGCAGATCGACCGCTTTCGATTCCCATGACCTGCAATCAAGATTAGAACGTGTGAGGCTCACTTTAATCATGTCCTGGTAACGTAACTTTGATTTCCCCACATGCCGCTTCCCAATACTCAGCTGACCATATAAGAGTTGTTTCGGTATCCGAGTCGAATCCATACGGCTCACATGACCGAGCCACCTCAGGTGTCTCAAGAAAAGTACGCAGTTCACTGCATACATCCCACTACGGCGCAACACTTCCGTATCAGCAACTCTGTCACCCCAATGATGCGCAAAACTCGACGCAAACACTGCTGATGGAACCGCTCAAGATATCGTACATCCCGCCGCTACATCGTCCACGTTTCATTGACGTACAGAAGAACAGACAGCACCATGGATTTGTACACCATCAGCTTCGTGCCAGTGGTAGGATGATGGCTGTTCCACACTCGGGACTCTAGCTTCCCGAATGCCGTCGCTGCCTTCGCCACGCGGATACGCAGCTCATTGTGTAGCTGCTGATCAGTCGACATCACACTCACAAGGTAGCAGAAGCGGGTGGTGGTTTCCAATACTTCGGCACCAATGCTGATTCGCGGCAATATTGAGGATTGCACCTCCGGTGAAGGCTGAAAGAGACAGACAGTTTTGCTTGTGTTGATGGTGAGCCCGAATTTTGCGCTGTCGAAGCCAGAGCATTCGTCATGTGTTGCAACTCATCCGCGCTGTGCGCAAACAACGCACAGTCGTCAGCAAACATCAACATACGGATAGTTGTCTCACAGACGGGAGAGCTTATGGTGCGCTGAGGCTGTTTGTGGCTAGATCCTGACAGATGATCTACCCACTGCTGCTACTGTTGCGCCACTGGCTCATGTCCTGCATGCCTCCTCCTGGCGACCGCTGGGGGTGGGAGTTGGGTTTCGCCCTTCTCCCTACTAAAATCCAGGACACCAATCCGCATGAGTCAGTGAACCGACCATGCGCTAAACCCGCTGCCTTGCGGGGGTACATTTAATCGAAGGCTTGGCTGAGGACCCGAGTTGTTCTCCTGTCTGGTGTGGGCGTCTTGCCAGTATCCCAGTCCATCCTCTTCGGATGTTATGAAGTGATCGATGGCCCACTTCCCGTAAAACCTAGCCATGGGAGACAACAGGTCCACGGGTTGTAAGCTCACAGCTCGATTGGCGTACAGCACGAACGCCACGCATTGCCTCTGACGGTGGGAGGACACCTCCGGGTGTTCAATAATTTGCTAATGCCCGCCTCAAACCAGGCAGCCCCTGGTTCAATTGATGCAAACCCGCCATAACCCACCTGCGTCTGGCCGTGGTCCCAGGTGCGCATCCTACAACGGTCGAAAAACGTACATAAATCGTTCCAGTACCTCCAAGGTTGCGTGTGACGGCCGTCAAGCAGATGTCAATCTGTCTCTGCAATCACATTCCCGAGCTGGATCTGCTCCCCACTGCCTTGTGGGTAAGGCTATTGAGCCAAAGGCTCTGGGTGGAGTCCCTCAAGCAAACCTCCGAAGCACAACGACCACCTCGCCTGCGATTGCCCACCAACGCAACCGTATGTCTGCGCACAGTGCACTCAGCATCAGGTGCTGGAACGTGCGCACACTACTGAACCGGAACTCTAGTAAGCGCCCCGAGCGACGCACTACACTGGTCGCCATGGAGGTGACGCGTTACCACATCGATATTGCGGCCCTCAGTGAAACGCGGCTCGCTGAGCACGAAGCAGGTGTTGGTTACACATTCTACTGGGTGGGCAACGCCGCCTCAGCACCACGTGATCATGGAGTCGGATTTGCAATATCCGATCGCCTCCATGGCCAGCTGATGGGTGAACCAACAGGCATCAGCGCGAGACGGATGGCTGTTCGCCTACGACTCGGAAGTGGTAAGTTTGCCACTTTTATAAGCACGTACGGTCCGACCATGTGTCATCCTGATGACGCGTGATCAGTTCTACACTGAGTTATCCTCCGTGATACGGTCTGTGCCGAGGAGCGACCGACTATTTCTGCTGGGTGATTTCAACGCGCGCGTTGGGCGTGATGCATCGGTGTGGGCAGATGTTATCGGTCGGCAAGGTATTGGTTCCGGGAATGTGAACGGTGACAGGCTGCTCTCACTGTGTGCCACGCACGGCCTGACGATCACGAATACTAGGTTTGCAATGAGTGCGAGTGATATAGCAACTTGGACGCACCCGCGGAGTGGTAACACTCCCCTGCTCGACTATGTCAACGTACGTCAGCGTGATATGCGTGAAATGCGTAGGACGCGTGTACTGCGTGGAGCTGAGTGTGGTGCTGATCACAAATTGGTGCGGACCAAACCGTCCAGATATTTTCGTAAATCTATGTATTGCACACCTGCCGTGAATCGGCGTACATTTGACATGCTCTCCTTCGGTACTGTGGCGAAACATATTGAGCTGTAGAAGGCGACGGTTGCACGCCTGTGTGATGTGGACTGCATAGCCACAGTGGGCGACCTGTGGTACCACATTCGCGACCAGGTGACAGCTGCTTTGAGAACAGGTTGTCCTCCAGCGGAGAAGAAGACAGCTTGTTAAAACAATATATGGGTAAACAAGTGAGAAAAGTAGGCACTTAGTCCGAAGCATTCTGTATGTCCCAATGCAAAGGGTGGTCAGCAGGTCAAGATATATATGCATTTATGCGTCAGGAATGGGAGTATAAATAGCGTCCACAGTATCGTTATATAAGTTGCGCGATTTGAAAGATATTGCGAAAACAGCTCTCAGTAAGTTGGATCGGTTTCCGTCGGAAAGAAATAGGCTCGTTTATCGTCATCGTTCAACGGCGTCAGGATGGTGGAAGCCACATTCAAATTATTTCTAAGATCACTGACCAAACTCAACATGCAGAAAACTTACTGTCAGAGTTCACCTGAACACGAGAATCCAAGTAACTGCCCAGGAGTAAAACTCCTGGATTATGCACTTATTTGGCAGTGTACCCCTTCTCTTGTCTATGCACATCAATAAATTGAAGGTAACATAAGGGGACTATCTGAGAGTGCTCAGAAGCTTTGCACCCTTAATCCGTATAGCGGAGTAGCTGAACCAGTAGTAAGCGACTTACTGACGTGGCTTACGGAATATAAACCTCAGCTCAAAGTGATCGTGGCCCTCCAACCCGGTGATTACTTTACCGGGTGCTGTGTACGAGCGGTCACGTGCCCCCTACTGGCATCAATGAATTTGATCCCCATTCAGACCCCGAGTTCGGGGTCATGTGAGCGAAAGACATGCTTCCAAGCTTTCAGTTTGTCTGTGATCCAGGAAACAAAGGCGCATTGTGTGAACCACACGACTTGTATGTTGTTAAGTTAGGACCAAAGTGAATTCAGTCTGAAAACCAAAGCGAGGTGGTGCCACTGCATACGGCTGAATCATGTAACTTGCGCAGAAAAACAGAGGCACATATAGTCCAAATTCAGTTGCGCACAGAAAATAGAACACAATGGACTTGTTCAGGAGGGCAAGAGTGCAATTTACCACAAGCAGTCGTGTGATTTGTATCGTAACAACTCCTTCCTACAATCGGGATTTGTTCATGTTGCCTGTTTCACACTACACACATGTTTTCGCCATTTGAGATCCTAAAAAGTGATTATGAGTTGGCTGGTATGGGTGTCTTTGTTCCCCTTTTGATCCGTTGTGTGTTCGGTTTACCAATACACTCCACTTGTCCGGTGGCTTGACTTCTGGCACTCAGAGCAGAAACATAAATAGCCAATCCAAGCATACGCCCTGGAAACACAACCTATGTCCCTGGCTATTCCGATCCAATAACGTCGCCCGATTGCTTGGACCATCTCTACCTGATGAGTTAAAACAAGGAAGAAACGCGTCAAGGATTGGGCAGAGATGGGAGAGAGCCACACCGAAACTTGCCACTTCAGTGACGGTCCCAGTGACTGTGTTAGCAGAGGCTAACTTCAAAGTCAACTGAAGCCACAACGGAGATTGTCCATCACAATCCAAGACGGATAGCGGGTACTCTAAATCCCGACAATCAGCTTCTTTATTGCATTATTGGGTTTGCTTTCTACCAGCTACTGCTACTTAACTGCTATCAATCCCGCACTGAAGATGCCACCTCGAATGGTGGCGAAACGTCTGCAACCAATTTGTCCAGCTCGGAGAACTCCATAACAACTGAGCAAGCCTCCCGAGCTACCAATATTCCAAATTACTTCTTTATTGCTATCCAACGATCTCAATCATCGCAGTGCACTAGTTTGAGAATGAAGTCGGTTCACTAAGGTCTGGGTCTCAGTAAGTACAAGAGGGAACTTAGCAAGGCAAAACAGTTAGAATACATGTCACTTCAGAAGCCGAAATTTGCGGTTCATGATATGCAGTGGTTGTAACTCACGCTGCCAACCGAGTTGACGAATGCCGGCACCATCTGACGTATGTTCGTGATGATCATGGTGACACGCATCGGTACAGATTTCATGGACTACTGTGGGGAGAATTTGTTCCAACTGTCGTTCGTTGAGACCCGAAGTATTTGGGAAGAAATTGAACAACTCATCGGCGGAATAACACTAAAATGGGGGAAAACGAAAAATGAACAACGATAGGCGGCGAAAGCGGGGAACATTTCAATAAATGTGTGAGACGGGATAAAAGCAAGAACACAGCCAACTTCTTGGCCACTTGGTACGAAAATTTGTATGCACCGAGTCAAAGTCAAAATGTGCTTAAGGTATTCCCGAAAGGTCAAAATTCAGCTCCAACACATAGACCACGAACATAGATATTCAATAATGTCGCAAAAAGCGAACAAGGACATTGTCACAAAGGTAATTTACCCGCCTGTTCTTAGCTGACGAAATGTTGAGCAGTTAAAAAAGGTGACAGACAAGGGATAATTGGTGCCCCATAGGCCACTGCAAGTCAAGGTCACTGACAGACGGACACAAAATCGAAGCTCCGACATTTTGTACATTTCGACGTGCTATCTTAACGGAGTGTCGATTATCATATATCATTCAGTTCCTTTTTGTGTGCCCTTCCTCATCGGAAAAAGGTTTGAAGGATGTCAATCAATTTTTGTGAAAACGGTGTAAATCTCTTTTAACAACCCTGTAATCCTCTTTGTAATGGAGCTTCCTCTATCCATTGCATCACACACCGCAAAAGTTCCATTTATCCGACTCGGAATTATTAGCTCTATCCATTGGATCGCTAGGCATAGAAATTATTCCATTGCCTTATTGCCTAAATCGTCTCACCGGTTTTGGTGAAGATCTGTCAGCTAGAAGATCGCATCGGCTAAACAAATTTTCTCGGTCGACGGAGATCGATATACCCCGCAGTCGTATCAACTGCGTCGCCCTGCCAAGGAGAGCGCTCTGGCCAGTAAACAGGATTACAACTCACACCGGCAGTCATTTGACCGTGCGGCGTTTGGACCGGTGTGTAAACTTAAACCACCATGCAGTGCAGTCGTTTCAAGTTAGGGCAGGTCGATTTTATCGCGTTCCATCTCATCCCACAGGGCAGTATAAGACCAAAAAGCGAAGTGGCCGCATCCAATTGACTAAGGCAACGTGACGCATCCAGCACGCCCCCCCCTAGTGACCTTGGATTCGAAACCAATTCCTACCCACCCAACAGCGTGGAATTAAAACCGGTTGGTTTGGTCGCGTACTACTGTCCCCTTGGCATTTATCCCTACAGTCCAACTATATATATATATATATATATATATATATATATATATATATATATATATATATATATATATATATATATATATATATATATATATATATATATATATATATATATATATATATATATATATAATATATATATATATATATATATATATATATATATATATATATATATATATATATATATATATATATATATATATATATATATATATATATATATATAGAGGTTTTTTTTCTCTACACCTGCCTCATGTAACTCCCTTATCTAGCCCTCTCATCACGTTGCTATCTCTATGTAAAATAGGAGTGAGCTAAGAACCGTGCCACCAAACGAGGTTTCAATGAAGCACATATGTAGAGAGGTCAACTGCAAGCGTCTTGTGAAAGCAAGGGTAGGTTGCGCGTTCCGTTCCAAACACTGCCATCCTAAGTGCGGTAATCTTCCTCAACGGCAGGCGAGACAGCAGAGCAGCTCGCCAGATGTCTTTTCGTTTTGTCCTATATGTTTGGCCATACTTTTATCAAATAGGTGCGAATACTAGTCGATAAATACAACCTGTTACTAGCGGAAGCCGAACAGCGGACGAAGGCTAGATTTGATTCTCTTGGGGAGAAGATGCACCAGGAAAGAGCGGCAGGCTCGAACTTAAGAATGCGTACGCGACTCGATTAGAAATAGGTGGGTGTTGCTCTCCTAACACTGCCACACCACAACCGCGGTTTCGTCCTGATGTAGACTCGTCACGTGGAGATAGTCTGAGCAGGGGTGGAACTCAGAGCCTAGTAGTTCACGGCTGACCCCTGAACACTATGTTATTGAGAGCAGCGAGCAACGCTTGGCACAGCGGAAGGCAATTCAAAGGAGAATTTAGAGAACATGCTGTGTGATTGGGTTGCGACGCGTAACCCAATTTTCCCCGGGTCCACCGAACCCGGATCAACATATCGATAACGCTTCATGCGCGTCCGCGGGTTTCTATCGCGCTCTGCGCGTAGCCTTCACAAATGTTGGTAGTTTAATGAACAAACGTGAAGATGTATTTCACTACGTGGCCTCGTCATCCAGACGTACTAGGACTGGCCGAAACCTACACGGAAAGTCCAGCTCAGTGACTACTCGTGCTTCCGGTGCGATAGACTATCAAACGATCGAGGCGGAGTGCTGTTATACATTCGGCCCTCGCTGTGTGGGAGACTGGTGCACAAGTACCGTAGCGAAGATGGCCTGTGCGAACAGTTATGGTGCTCGATCCGCCTGAGGCAGATTGAACTGTTTGTGAGTCCGGTTGATCGCAACCCGCGTAGTTGATGCCTGGATTGGTCGCCGCATGCTAGAAACTACATGAGTCGGCCCCACTTCCTGTCTATGGGTGATTTTAGCTTCCCTAGAATATAGTGGCCTGAGGTTAAACTTCTCCCCAGGCACCGTGAAATCGAGGCGCAGTTTATGGAGGTATTTGAAGCTAGGGCAGCATAACATATCTGCCCGCCGACGTGTGTTACACCGTATTCTGCTCCATCGTGCCGGAATCTATTACTAACGAGTTGCGAGCAACGTGTACATGAAATTCAGGTCCTAGAACCTCTGGCAGCTAGTGACCACTCGATGGTGTTGGTCAACCTAGAGCTGCCGCTGTCCTGCTCGCGTCTGCCGGAGCCGTCCCACAATTATTGGAAGAACGACTTCAATGGTCTCAATCGAGCCGCCAGTGAAGTAGACAGGCCGCTGTCGCAGGATTCAACTGTTGAAGCCTGCTGGTTTGTTATAAAAGAGGGTGTGCAATCATTGTGCGCTCGTTTCGTGCCTCTCAAGTATCGGAAAGCTGAACCAGTGAAACCAACTGGTTCCACAGACAGTATAATCAATTGGCTCGACGGCGACGCGCATTGTGGAATAAATTCCACGTGTCTGGCTCTGTCGACGATTATGAGGCGTACAAAACGCAACGGAGTCTATGCAACAGCGCAAAAGCGATAAAGCGTTGGCAGTTCGAACAGGAGCTCGTAACCTCAGCGAAGACAGCACCCAAGAATAATTTTGCTTATGTGAAGCGGCGCCTGAGGCCCAAAAGTGACGTAGCTGTGTTAGAGGGACTGACCTAAGGCAATGAACCTGCGGCCGCATAGGCGGGGCATTTCGCTTCCATATTTACAAGTAGACATGCGCCTATGTCGAGCTCGACGTGTACAGCCCCTACTGAACTCGATAGCCTAGATTTCGGTGTAGATGTCCGCAGTCTACCTGCTAGTCTTGACGACACGAAACCTGCCGGACCCTATGGATTTCATCCGCTCTTCTTAAAGTGCTTACCGGCCATCATCTCGCCTGCCATGACGGATCTGTTCAACAGATCGCTATCTGGTGTGCATTGCTGAGCGACTGGAAATGCTCAGTAGTGAAGCCGATTCAAAAGGCGGTGACCCACGCAATGTGGATAAGTACAGGCTGATTTGTCTCACCTCTGTTTTGGCGACGGTGCTCGAGAAGATTGTGAAAAGTGGTCTTCTCTAGCTGTTAGAGTTGAAAGATTCCCTAACGCCGGCACAGCAGGGCTTCATGAAGGGCTGCTCGTTCATCACCAACCTGCTGTTGACACAGCAGGGATGGTTGCAAGCGTTGAATCGAGGGAAGTCTGATTTCAGTAAAACTTAGGATAAAGTGAACCATGAGGTCGTGCTCCACAAGCTGAGAGCATGGTTTTGTGGTGCACTGCACTAGTGGAGAAGTGATTGCCTTATTGGGAGAAGATGGCGGGTTCAGGTGAATGACAACCTAACGGAAGGGTACCTGTCCACTGGCGGCGTACCCCAAGGGACAGCACTGGGACACATTTTATTCCTGATCCACATCACGAAGTACCTCCGCTTCTTCAGTCGCCCTGCGCATTATTTGCAGACAACCTGAAGATTTGGAAGATTTGATAAGGCTTTCATCCCAACAGTTCACAAGCTACATAGCAGAGCCTAGCCCGGAAAAGCGCCAGACGCGTTTCGCCCTATTGGGGCTCGTCAGTGGCGCGCATTCCCTCGGTCCTCTAAGGAGGATCGAACCCATGACCGCTAGAGGCAGATGCCAACTAGCCAGCAGCTTAAGCCACTGAGCCATGGGGGACGTCGGCTAAGCTACATAATTTGCAAACTAGCTGGGATATAGCACCACCTATCTACCACTGTCACTGACAGTGGTTAGCCTGCAAGGTGATGACGTCCTCTCACTAGACGCTATACCTATAGCATTTGAAACTAGGAGAGGCGTTTGATTTTTATAGTACTCATAAGTAGCAGGATTTTTGATTCTCCCGGAGATTGTGACTTCCTTCAGCAGGACTTCGACCACCTTTCCCGTGGACTTCAGTAGATGACCTATCAATCAACCCGGCCAAGTCCTCTTTTGTGAGCCTGGGGAGGGATGATAATAGGCGTGCGTACACCCTGGCCGGCCACCCGCTGGATCCCACAATCTCCGTTAATGACCTAGGTCTTCTCTCTCGCTGTGATCTGAAGTCTGGCGACAACAAGAACAGATAACAAGCAAAAGGACTACGCCTGCTTTGCGCACTTCGATGCAGCTTCTGCACTTGGTCTGAAGAGGTTGCCAAGCGTCTTTTATTTTCCCTAATAAGACCGGTGCTTGAGTACGGCTCATACGCCTATTGTCCGATCACAATAGGTGAGATGCAGAGACTGGAACCGGTCCAACTTGTAGCTAAGCAGCTCATCCCCAGTTTACGGGGCATGTCGTACGAAGACCGATGTAGGAGACTAGGGCTGTATACCCTGTCATATCGTCGCCTTTGAGTTGATCTCCTTATGACGCATCGGATACTGCACCTGGACCACTTCCCTATGTTGAAGCCGCT